CCTTGAAATCGAAATCCTGAACCCTAAACCCAGAAACCCCAAGCCCTAAACCTCGAAACCTTAAATTCTTGAGCCCCAAACCCTTGAACCCTAAACTCCTAAACCCTGCCTCTGAGTCCAGATGTATCACACCGACAAAGTCCGAGTTGTGAGAGCGTAACCTCCTAAACCCTAAACTCTTGAGCTCTGTACCTGGATCGTCCCGATCCTATATACGAATACCCCGTAATGGCCGTTCGCATATATGTATTTCTGAGCCCGAACCCTTTGAAGTGATCTGCTGCCGCGGATTCCCCAGGATCCTACCGGTTCAGAGGTGTTTTCAGATTGTAGGATCTTGGGTAAGGGCACGGTCTCATCCGATACAGTCACTTTATGTGTTTCTATCCAGCTGTTTTGATCAATCCTATGACTGGCCCTTTAGCATGTCTCACCTTGTCAGACTCCGAACAATATGCCTCGCCTGGTTTGTCCGAGTGTGAGCGCCGAAACTCTTGAGCCTGAAACTCCTATAAACACCCTAAACTCCTAAACCCTAAACTCTTAAGCCTTAAACCCTATATAGCCCTAAACTCCTATAAAACCCTAAACTCTTAAACCCGAAACTCCCAAACCCTAAATTCTTAAGCCCTTGAACCCAGAACTCCAGGACGACCAGGAGACGGAAGCCCTCGCGCGGCACCAGGGCTTCTCCGGCCTGTCGGACAGGAAGAGCGCGGCTTGGACAAAGGCTTGGGTGGTTGCCAAAATTAAGGTCCCCTTTTTGGGGTACCCTAAATTATAGGTGCCGTACTATAATAGGGACCCAAAAAGGGACCCTAATTTTGACAACCACCCAATTCGGACTTATACATAGTGCTTAGGGTTTCGGGGTTTAGGGGATAGGGTTGGGGGGGTGTAGGGTTTAGGGAAGTGGGTTTGGGGGGACAGGGTTTCGGGGTTTAGATTTTGGGGTTTAGGGCTCTCTGAATAAAATGCACTGTCGAAGGGAGTTTTATTGGGTCATGTGGGATGGAAGCCAAAGGGATGAGGGCAGAAGGTAATTGTTCGAGCTGTCAGGGCAGCTTGCGGACTTATCTGCGGCATTGTAGCGAGAGTTCCGCACGCTGCTTTGTGGATCTAAGGATGCATCGTTCTCCAGCTCTTCGCTCAACGAGGCACCGTTCCGGAAAGCCGGCATTTGAGGTTTTCTGGACTTTGGCGATAGGCATTTGCTGAAGGATGGCTTTAATCCCCAGGCCAGCAACCTAAAATCCCGCCCGGCAGGATCCTGAACAGACTAAGAGTTACATGGGGAGCTTCAGGGATAAGCATACCAATCTACTACCTACAGACCGCAAGCACGATTATCTAGATATCACTACATAACGAGCCTTCAACTTCCAGGAGCCATCGCGTTGTATGACCCTTTTCCTTGCTCTCGTAAGCGAACCCCTAGACCTGTAACCCTAAGCTTTCGCCCTTAGTCACAACCCAATAAAATAATGTATTTACGAAGCTCCCCTGCCCAGGAACCCTCAACCCAACAATGATAGACCTTATGAGGGTGGTTGTCAAAATTATGATCCCTCTTTGGGTCGTTATTATAATACCGCACCTAATATTTAAGGTGCCCAAAGAGGGACCCTAATTTCGACAACCACCCACGAAAAACTGTTCCGGGCCCATTCCTTCACAGGATGCCACGGTGGGCATGAGCGAGCCTTTGACGGAGGAGCGCAAGATGTTGCAAGAGTATTCAAAGTAATATAGGGGCCTTAATAATTAATTAGAGTGGGGTTTTGGGGCCCATTATACTATAATTGTAATAGGGAACCAAAATAGTATGGCAATTGTTTAGGCCCCTATAGTACAGATCCAGGTTATCGGGATAGAGGTTTAGGGCTGCGTTGTTTTCGCAGGCTCGGGAGCTCGACATTCTTTTGAAGTTTGGGGTATAAGAGCATGGTACGACATTGTGTGATACAGCTTAAAGCTTGCAGGTTTGGGGCTTGGCGGCCTGTACAGCAAGTGCTCACACGATTGACAGCCAATCCCGGACAACAGAATGTATGGGAGGTACTTCAGGATTTATGCCTCGATTGGTCTGTCTGAGTGTGAATTCCGAAACTTTGAGGACCCCAAGGCTTTAAATAGGGGCCTGCACAATTACGAACATCGTTCCTCCGGGCTCCTTATTGCAAATACAGTATGACCTACCCCAAAACCCTATCCCAAAAGAAAGACTCTGCAAGAAAGCTCATAGAAGAAAGTCGTGCTCTTAGGCTTCCAAAAATCCCTCGGCCCCTCCGGCGGGTTTAGGGTTTGGGGCTTGAGGCTCAGGGTGGAGGATGTAGGAAAAGCAGCAACCCCCGTGCTTCTCCCCCAATCCGGAAGCATTTAGACCTTAAAACTGCTCCTCTAAAGCGCCCTCTCCCGCTCCAACCTGAACCCACTCAAAGCCCTTAATTCTTCCGTCCTCCACCCTAAACCCCAAACCCTGACCTACCCTGCAATGCAAGTTCGCCCATGCTAAGTAGGAGGGAAACAGCCCCGACTCACCATCATTTCATATAGACTATGCCACAAGGAGCTTTAGATCGACTACCATCGACCTGTAGCCTAAAAGACTTACCTTTTTAGTGTTCCCCATTAGTAGGGTTTCTATATATATATATATAGATATATACGGTCACCCCCCCCCCCCTTTGACAGACCATGCCCTTTCAACTCAGTCGTAGTGCATGGTCTGTGATCGGGGGAGGGGGCACTCAGCTTTCCAAAATTCAATTCCAAAATTCCAAAATTCTCTCCCCTAACTTTCCGGATTTCCGAAATTTCCGAAATTTCCAAAAATTTCCGAAATTTCCAAAAAGTCCGCCCTTATGTTTTGGAAAAATCCTGTCGACTAGGTCGGGCCGTTTTGGAATTTTTGGAAATTTTGGAAATTTCTGAAATTTTGGAATTTTCGGAAATTTTGTTTGAAATTTTGGAACTTCTGGAGTTGATTTTCAATGGGCTGATTGTGACCCATCGGATGACAGACCATGCACTACGACTCACTTGCAAAGGCAAGGTCTGTTTCGACGATTGTCAGTGTTTATATATATATATATATATATATATATATATATATTTTTTTTTGTTTTTTAGATTGGTACTCCTACGAATACTATAACCAATACTAATACTGACATTGATCATTTGCTGACTGCCCAAGCTAATACCAGCATTAACACTAATATTTACACTTTTTTAAGCCAATACGAATAGGCACCATACAAATACTAATAATGATTAATACTGACGTTCATACTCCTACGCATATCAATAATTATGCCCATATTGCTAGTAGTGTATTTTAGTACCAGTACTAATACACACCTGCATATACCAATGTACATACATATACATACCACTATATTAAAGTATAAATACATTATCTAATGCATGTATTTATCTGTTAGGAGTTTCATGTAATCAGGAGGAATACTAATATGAGACAAACGTTCACGCGATTACATAACCTCATTTCAATATTAGCACTAGCACTATTACTAATACCAATCACACTGTTTATACAAACACCAAGATTTACATAAGTATTGATACTCCTACGGATACTACTGTGTATACTCTTATGCTGTTAACAGTAATGCTGTCACCAATACTAATACTGACAATGATAACTTGTTGAATATTCAAGATAATGCCAGTCTTAATACCATTATTAACACTTATACTAAGGCTAATGCGACTATGGACAATCCTAATACGAATATTAACATTAATACTCCTACAAATACCAATAGTCATATTCCTATTGATGTGGAGACTAATACCATTACAAAAGACACGTGCATATGCTAATGCACACCAGAACACATACCATTATCTTAAAATGCCGATATGTTACAATGCATTCATGTACTGATGTTTTAGGACGAGCATATACCCATATACCAATGTAACTATACACTACTTGTTAATGTGTGAATATACTATACTAGTATGCTATTATACTAGTATGCTACTATACTAGTATACGACTACTGTAATATACAAGTATACCGACATGGCAGGTTAGTGTACTAACATGACAACATACTGATATACTTATAAATCTTTAGACAAAACACGTATATTGCATATACTAGTATACTAATACACTAATGTGCGAATATACTGGTATGTTAATATACTAATATATTAATACAGCAATATACTAGTTTACTCATGCATCAGTTGTACTAAAGTATTAAATCTACGAATATGCAAGTATACAAAGAGGTTGCCTCTCGAACACATCAATGTATTGATATACTAACCTGCTGATATACGAAACTATCAGAATAGTAACATATCGAAACTAACTCTAACTTTGATACCAATACTAGCACTTCTGCCATTATTAACTGATATTAAACCCAGCATGAAGACTGATACTAATACTAGCAGTGGTACTATTACTGGCATTGACACTGGCACTAACACTAAGACCAAAACGAAGATGAGCACTAACATTAACGTATACTTACTACTGTCGATATATACATATATATATATATACTTACAGTAAACACTAATACTATTGCTGATACTAATACTAGTACCAATATTAATACTCATACTCATCCTATATCAATGCTACCACAAAACTCATAACTCACGTGTCGCGGTCTGGTCCATGCGTCCTCAGTACATGGCAAGTTAAAAGTATACTTGGTATATGTACTGTAAAGGATTTGCTTCACAGATTGTCGTCATGTGTGGTGTGTTTAGATACACTATCTCAGCCTAGTCACCGAACGAGAGTACACTACCACAAGGGCATGGTCTGTCAACGGGGGGGGGGGTGAGCATATATATATATATATATATACACATATATATACACATAAATATAGTTCCTTAATAAGGTAGGTCTTTTCGGCTACCGGTACACATATGTAAACCATAGTGTTCTGACATTAGACCAGGAGGGATATCAGGCAGTGGCGTCCCTTCGGAGTGGCCAAGCCATGGCAGCTCATGAGATGCAAGAAGTGCAGGTTTAGAGGGTTCAGGGTTTTTCGGGCTTGTGGTTTAGGGTTCAAGGTTTTCCGGTCATATGGTTTGGGGTTCAAGGTTATAGGGTTCAGGGTTTTGGCGCTTCGCTCGAGAGCCTAGTAGTCGAGTAGGTAACCTTTAACCTTTTTTGGGTAGTATAGCCCCTATATAATCCCTATATAAGCAAAAAGGTTAACCTTTAGTTCCCCATGAAACCCGACAAGTAGGAGAGCTGAGGGTTAAGGCTGCCGGGCTTCGGTTTGGAATTTGCGTGGCGTTGTGTTGGAGCGAGTGCCTGGGGATCAAGCTTTGAAGGGTTTACGGTCTTTGGGGTACGGATCGGGATGCCTCGTTTGGGGGTTGGGTTTCCAAGGATTGTTGCAAGTTGTTGTGAAGGGGCTATTCTGGTGTGACTTCAACACTTCAACAGGTATACAATACTATGTGTATATACCCGGCTCAGGGAATGCTACACCCAACTCGTGCAGGCTAGTTCAGGCTTCACCGCCTGCTTAATACACCAGGACGTCTTGCTTGAGCAAAATTGTCCAAGCCTTGGGTTGGCCTCTCTTCAAAACGTGCTTAAAATTCAGGATGGTAAGGGCATCCTTGTCGGATCATGGTTCGTCGATGTGGGCGTACATGTTTTCCAGGCCTTCGTTCGCCGCGTGCTCATGGAAGAGGGTGGTGAGGTCATCAGCTCGGCAGGCGCACGAAAAGCAGCAGAAATGAGTGTTTTTCGTGCAGTCACGAAGTAATTAAAACAACGAGGCTTGGATGTGAAACCGAGTCTGAGAGAGCAAGCCTCAAACGTAGTGCAAACGTAGTTGCAGAGGCAGAAGTTGCAGGGCTTACCGCACCACTTCGGAAACAGCTCGATTTGTTCGAACACGGCCGGCATGAGCCAAGCCATTGCCAGCCCCTTGTGTACAACGACGCTTTCGTGTTGGCCGGGCCTGTCGCGAGGAGTCGGTAGCATTCAGGATTATGCAGATACCCGACACATGCAGCATCAAATCGACGCTGTTTCACTTGCGCATGCCCACTTGGACCGGTACAGTATCGCACAGCCGGTCTCGAAATCACTCAGAAGCTCTCCCATCTAGATCCTCGCTTGGTTTTTTTTTCGCATTGCACGTGGCCGCGGACCCACTTGCATGCTCTTTCAATTTCTTCTAGTGGAGCGCCATTCCCAAACCGTCCAGCCCTGGACAGGTCTGGAGACTGGCCGGGGGGTGTGTTCCTGAGTTCCTAAGCTTCCCGCCCAGAGATCCCAATACCCCTTAATTAAGGAATGTACCTTAAATCATAATATTCGGGCCTCTATAATTTAAGGTATATCCCCTAATTAATGGGTATTGGGATCTCTGGGCGGTCACCTGCTGCCGGAGGAATCTCTAGCCTCGAGACGGTCTAGACCTGTTGGCCCATACGCCCGAGTTGTCGGTACCAGGCCAAAACCACAATCTTGTGCTCACAAGTCTGGCCCTTACATCACATCGCACCCACCCCGCTCCCCAAGACTCGCGGCTCTGCGTTGGGGAAGGGATCCTAAACCTCGGGAGTTGGGTACAGTAAAACATAGCACCATAAGCCCATACTATAGGGGCCTAAATAATTACCTATACTATTTTTGTTTGAGTGGGGCTACTTTTTTACATATAGTATGATGGGCCCCAATACCCTATTCTAATGCTTAAGGCCCCTACATTCTTTCGCTGTTTCGAGAAGCGCCGTGAGAGGCCTTCTGGACTTTGCGCAAGGCTTCAGTGGAGAGCTAGGCGCGGGGACCCGAAGACTTCGCTGTTGTGCTTCACCATCTCCATGTGGGTAGTTGTCAAAATTAGGGTCCCTTTTTGGGTACCCTAAATAATTGGTGCCGTATCAAAATGAAGACCCAAGAAGGGATGGTAATTTTCACAACCACTCATGTGGAAGATTTTGAGTCGGGCATAGCTTCAAAGTTTCCGGGCATGTTCCTGTGCCTTTGAAATCTCGTCACACTTTGCTGTGCGCGCAGTAGTCACGATGCTCCAGAGTCATCATCACTTGGCCTAATGCCGCTAGCACATCCTTAAAGCGGAAGATTGGCCATGTCAAGCTTCTGACAACTTGATTGCCCTAACATGAGAGTTCCGAAACTGAGGGGGGGACCCTAAAACAAGCACTCTATACAGTAGGATCCTTCTATACCCTTAGTATGAGGACGCCCAAATCGGGCACCCCTCACATTCGCAAACTCCCACATGAGGCCAGCCGCAGAGCTTCGTGGCCCTGCATGAGGCGTTGCTGCGAAGCCCAAACTGGGCTCGATTCCAGTGCTTGGGCCGGAATCGTTGGTTTATGTTGGTTTAGGGTTTAGGGTTAATACAGGGGCCTTAGTAATTACCAATACTATTTTGGGGGATTCCCTATTATATTTGTAGTATATGGTTTAAGGTTTCGGGTTAATACAAAGGCTTTAATTAATAATTGCCAATACTTGTTTTGGGGCTTTCCTTGTTGCATTTACAGTATAATGGGCCCCAAAACCCCATTCTGATTATTAAGGCCTCTACAGACCGGCTTCGACAGGGGTTAGCAATGCAAGGAATGGAGGTGCCTTAATAATCAGAACAGGGTTTTGGGTTTCCTATAATTTTCTGTATTAATTGTAAGAGGGAACCCAATGGAACATGATTAGTATTTATTTCGGCTTATGTATGCCTCTGTTCTTAGGGCCGGGGGCTTTGCACGTATTCGGTTTGGTCTCCGTGAATTCTGCTCAGGAGCTTCCCATGTGCTTTTTAATAGGACAGCCGCGGCCTTTTGCCGAAGCTGAGTTTGGGCTTTATGACACCTATGAACGAAGGGCCGGCCTGCACAACACCCTTACTAAAAGTATAGCATAGTGGCCCCCAAGTAGGAGGCCCCTATATTATACTTGTAACCCTTATAAACCCTCTAAAGGAACCCCATTAAAATTAATGAGGCCCCTATATAACAACCTGGCACCACCTGAGGACAGTGAGCCAGGGCAAGCTATTCGTGGACCGCTGGTTTGATGGAGCATCCAAAGTCTTCTCGGTGAGGCACAACGGGTTTAGGGGTTAGGAGTTTGGGGGTTTAGGAGTTCAGGATTTAGGGGTTTAGGGTCGTAGCCAGGCCTGACTAACACGGCTTCCGGGTTTGGAGGGGCCCATCCGCCGAGGAGGACGGACGTTTGCCAAGTACCCAGGTCCGATGTAAGGCAGTAAGTATAGTATTATCATGGGTTCGAAAAACCCTATTCCAATTATTAAGGCCCTTGTATTATAGTACCCTTATAGTAACCCCTATAGAGACGAAAAATTTAGGGCTTAGGGTTCAGCCAATAGTGTCTAAGGGTTTTAGGGGTTCAGGGTTTAGGGTTTAGTGTTGTAGGGTTTTTAGGGTTTAGGGTTTAGGGGGCTTGAGACCTAAAAAACCAACGTTTCAGAGCATCATCTTTCCCCGTCGTGTAGGGGCCTTAATCATTAGAATAGGGTTCCCTTTAAAGGGATTCTATAAGGGTACTATAATATAGGGGCCTTGAATTGGATTTTGGGTGCCATTTTACTATGATTATAATAAGGAGCCCCCCCCAAGTAGTATTGGTAATTGTTAATAGGCCCCTATACCATAGAACCCTACTATAGATCCCTGATAGGCCCCTTGAAGGATCCCTCTAAAAGAACCCCCAAAAGATAGTATTGGTAATTCTTAAGGCCCCTATATTCTACCCTAAACCCTGTAGACCCCTTAAAAAAGAACCCCTTAAGGATCCCCCTTTCTATAGGGGCCTTAAGGAACCCCAAAGGCCCCTGTAGTATCGCACGAGGGAGAGTCGGCACCACCTCATCGCGGCGGGGGCGGACAGCAGCAGTTCCTACGCAGCCTTCGAGTGCTGCTTGGCGACTTGTGGCTGGCGTCTATCATACTTTATTATATGTGCATATGTATGTATGTATGTGTACCTAGATATATGTACATATATATATATAGATGTATATATCCGGAATTTTATGTGCATATGTATATATATATATATATATGTGAATAAGTATATAGTATATGGCATTTGATGATCTAAGGCATCTAAATTTCAGCTTTTCCGGGGCTCGGATTTGGAGCGTCCGCGATTCGAGGGAACCAGGGGAGAATCTCGGATGGTGGGATATGGTTCAAGAAAGCAGTGGGGTTTAGGGTTTAGGGGACGGTCCCGGTCAAGATGATTGTGGGTCGTAGACTGGCTAGACATGAGTCCAGTGGCCAAAAGGGTACGGTCTTGTATTTGTTGTTCTTGTGGTCATTCTCCCTATTGGTGGTGATACTGCTGCTGCTGCTGCCCCCTGCTGGTCATAGTGATAGTGCTGGTCGTGGTGGTGGGCTATCGTGTGCCTGAGTATTAGCATGGTTGTCGTTTTCTGCAGATCGCTTTGGAGCTCAAGTGTCAAGGCTGCATAAACATCGTGAGCTTGCGAAAGGCTGTTCGGAGCTCATTCCAGCCGGCAAGGTGTTCAAGTTTGGGCTGTAGGGGTTTAGGCGACTCACTCGTACAGTCAGCCTGTCGCACCTGGTCTGGCAGTCCAGTGGTGGGGCTTGGGCCTATGCTGCAGTATTCGGGTTTTTGAGGTGGGCGGAAGGGAAGTACTGGCTGCCGCCAAAGTTCCAGTTGCAAAAGGGTGTTTAGGCGACATCGAACCCAGCAACTTCTTGTTCTTTTGCGATGCTGCATGGGATTCTCGAAAGCCATTTTTCAGGCTCGAGACGGACAAAGGGCGATGGGGTGCACCGGAAGTCAAGATGCAAAGGGTCTGCAGCCCTCCGCTGGAAGAAGTGGGGCTGTAGTTTACCATGCACCAGAGCTTCCGAAGGTCCCAGTAGTAGCGCGACCTCCAAATCGCGACAGCCATGAGCGGCATGTGAAGGAGCACAGTCTAGGGATGTTTTTAGAGACTGGCCCTGGATTTGAACCCTCCTGAACCTTAGCTGGCCAGCCCTCTTCAAATAAGTCTTTCCAAAGCCTCCACGAAGCCAAATGTTCGACCTATTCTGCAGCCCGGCACAGATTGGTTCGGGGGTTTAGCTTCCCGACAGACCTAGATGCTCTTGTGCAGGAACTCAACAAGTACCTTGCCATCGTGGCCGAATATCCTGAGGACTTCCAGCAGCATGTGGAGACGCGGCGCGACAACTTCTAATGGTGCAAAGGGACCCATGGACCAGAAGACTTGCAGTGGAGCATGTCGGACCTTTCCGAGAAAATCTGACCAGCAGTCTGTTGTCAGGAATGCTCTCGCGAGGAAGGATCGCAGAATCACTGGGATTGTTTGAACCTCAAGCCTTAGGGCCTTAAACTCTGAACCCTCGGCGCTACATCTTTAGCTCTATGCACGTTACAACCCCCCATACCGCCGAAACCCTGCCTTTTTTGAAGAAACTCGGAAGTTGCCGTCGCTCCGTGGCGGGACTGCAACCTGAGCCTCTTCCGCCTGAAAAGAGGCGAATGCTGGGGCTTAACTCAGGGTTGCGAAATAGTAATAGCACCGCAAGGGTTACGACTCTGATTGCGACCATGGTTACTATAACATCTCTAACAGCTTTCATTTGGGTTTGGATATCTTGGAGGAGGCTGTTCAGGACTACCATCATGGGTATTATAAGCATATTTTAAAAGGGCCTCATAGCATTTTCACTAGGGATCCAGGTTGGGGATTTAGGGGCTTTAAGGGGCTTGGATCGGGTTTAGGGGATTAGGGCTCGTTTGGTGGGATCAGGGCCTTAAGGTGTCTCAGTCCAGCTGGCGAATTTATTCCAGCTCTACCGCATTCTGTAGTAGTAGTAGTAGTAGTAGTAGTAGTAGTAGTAGTAGTAGTAGTAGTAGTAGTAGTAGTAGTAGTAGTAGTAGTAGTACTCGTAGTAGTCGTCTGAAGCCACAGAGAAGTTGTGCCCCAGCAGCTTTAAAGCTCAGTCTCCGTTTAGCTCAGCTCCTTGTTGGGAAGAGCGTCGCGGGCATGAGCGGGTTCCAACGAAACCTCAGCCCAGATGACTTCTCATCTCCAAGTGCGTCTCAAAATGACGGGACACCCTGTGCTCAACATAGGGGCCTTAATATTTAGAACAGGGTTTGGGGTACATTTACTATAATTGTAATGAAGAACCCCACATCAGTTTAGGTAACTATTAAAGCCTCTATATTCCAAGACGGATCCCCAGATCATCGATGTACCTTCCTGTGCGTTTTGAGACAACACAAAGGATTGTTTATCAACTGGATGTGCCGTATTCCTTGTGTTTAAGATTTAAAAGTACTTGGGCAATCGTTGCTGATGCAGCAGATGCCCACGAATCACCTGCAACGAGTGGCCATGAGTGCATAGTGCGATCTGTTGCGCCTGACGCTGCAGATCTTTTTAGTGGCACAAATCTCGGCAGCCGCTACGATGCTTGAGCCAGAATCCGACTTGCTCGTCTGGCCAAGGCGTCCACGTGAGACATTTGCGAGCATCATTGTCACAGTGCTCACCAAGGAAGTCGAAACCCTACATCCCAAGCCCGATTGCCTAACTAACTAATCCCTTAAGACTCTGAGCCTTACTTCTTTAGAGAAACCCTAACTAACTAAACCCTTAAAAATCTGAACCTTACTTCTTTAGGCCCATACAGCCCAAACTCCTTTCCAAGAAACTCGGAAGTTGCCGTCGCTCCGTAGCGGGACTGCGACCTGAGCCTCTGTCGCCTGAAAAAAGGCGAGAGCCTGGGAGTTTCCGAGTAAGCTCTTCAGGGGCACTGTTACTATAAGGCCTAGTAGTCGAGTACGTAACCTTTGACCTTTTTTGGGTAGGATAGTCCCTATACAATCCTTATATAATCAAAAAGGCTAACCTTACCGACAAGTAGGAAGGGTTACGATCAGGCTGAGAAAGCTTGGCCCCTAAAACCCTAAACCCTCGGCTACTGCCTGGTGCGGGTGCGCGAGTCGAAACCCTAGGCTACTATGATATTTTGTTAAGTTTTGAGGCCCAGCTACGAGGGGTTCCTTATCACATCCTGTTTATTATAAGTATAGTATAACGGGCCCCCAAACCCTATTCTAATTCCTACGGCCCCTATATGATAGATCCCTTGTAGTAGCCCTTATATTCCCTTCTGGAAAGGGAACCCTATTCGAACTAGTAAGGCCCATGTATTAGCTTAACCTCATTTTCTGGCTTCAATGACAGGGAAGTTGTGCCCAGAAGCTTGAAGACCGGGTCTCATAAGGGTTCTATAAAAGGTTCAAGGTTTAGAGACTCGGAAGATTAGGGGTGCCTTATTCTGGGGTCCTTATAATTAGGATCCCACTATTTAGGGTATTATATGAGGGTCCCCAATTTTCGGAAACCCTATTTTCGGAAACTCCCATTTAGCTTAGCTCCTTGTTGGATGGTTACGGTTTGATTGAGCGTGGCGGGCACAAGTGGGTTTCAACGAAACCCCAGCCCAGATGTCTCATTTCAAAGGTGTCTCAAAATCACGGGGCGCCCTGTTCTTGCACGGCGTATCCCAGGATTCATGTACCTTGCTTACGGGCCTAAATAATTACCAATACTATTGTGGGGTCCCTTATTATGATTATACTATAATTATGCCCCAAAACCCTATTCTAATTATCAAGGCCCCTACATGAATATGCCCTTGCGTTTTGAAACAACCCAGAGGACTGTTTATCAATTGGATGTGCTGCATTCCCTGTGTTTAAAACTGTTTGGGCATTCGGTGCTGATGCAGCAGATGCCCACGAATCACCTCCATGAGTGTATAATGTGATCTGCTGCGCCTGTCGCGCAGATCTTATCAGTGGCACAAATCTCGACAGCCGCTACAACGCTTGAGCCAGATTCCGACTTGTTAACCCTAGAGCCCTAAACCCTAAACTGTTCTGTTACAATCTGGCGCCAAGGGCTCCAGATGAGACATTTGCGCGCGTCGTTGTCGCAGTGCTCACAAAAGACCAGATCGCGGGAGGGTTTGGGGCTTCGGGATTCAGGGTTTGGGGGTTGAGGGTTTAGCAGATGAAGCAGCCTTTTGCTTGGGGATGCAAATAAGATCTTGTCGACACAGTCCTCCAGTCGTCACATGCATAGGGCCACACATAGTGAAGTTCACGGTGAATTTAATCTGTGATGGTGACCGTATCGCGCAAGCGGCGCAAGTCCTGGAGAACTAGATGCGCAGACTGCCTCGCCAGATTTCAGAAGATCGTGGATTTGCCTTCGACTCTAGCAAGTACAAACGAAAGCTTTCCATCAGTGTAGAACGAGCCACTGGTATCCTGCTCCTGGCCCGTTCTAAACGCCAAAGGCTTTGCGGTAGCGGATGGTGGCAACCTACGAAGCCCAGCCAAGGTTGGGACATCGACGTGCAGCTGTCCGGAGCGCATATCAACTTCGTGTGGGGACCCCGGCTTCCCTAAGAAAGAGGAGGTTCAGACGGTAGTTTAGAGTTAGGGTTTAGGGTAGTTTAGAGCTTAAGATTGAAAGTTTCTGGTTCGTGAAATGGTGTTCAGGCACCGAGCGAGGATGCTGAAGTCCTGCCCTAGTAGCCCTAGTGCCTTCTACCTGGCCTTGACCGATTCGGATCGAATCGGAGCTCCAATCGCAAAGATTGTTTCCGTTTTCGCATTGAGCGGTCTTGGAGAACAGGGAAGGAATTTACATTGCTTTCCCCCACTTCCGGTCGCTCGGCCGTCTCCTGTGTGTCAGCTCAAATGCCCTGAATGAAGATCCTGCTACAATAGCATTCCTATGCGTTGCTAGTAACCAGTACAGAAGGGCAATCCCGTCTTGAGAAACTCCCCACAAAAGTGCCTAGGTTCCAAGTGCGGTCCCACGTGCTCGGTACGGGCGGAGACGTGAGGGACACCCTTTGCGACGAGGAGCTGGTTTGTTCACAGAAAAGTGGTCCTTTATAGTCTCTTTCACGGCTTGTCGTACGAACTGCGAAAGTCTGCTAGATGCCTGGTTGTCTGGGTTCGAACTACGACGCTAACCTTCACTGTGTCTATCCCAATCTTAGGCTCCTCAGCGGGGATGCGGCCGTGATGTTGTTTTTTAGCGCCTCACAAGTTTCTGAATTAAATCTCGTTCTTGCCAGTATGATCCGGCTATGTATGTAGATTCGCCGATCGGGAATGATGACGTTTTTCGGAGGCACCTCCATATCCGTTCCGTTCCGGCAGCATTATACCCCGGTGTTGGCTAAAGCCATTAGAAACGACTCCCTCCGGGTTCGTTTCGACTTTCGCGACTCCACTAACTGTATCTATCTTCGGCTTGAGAGCTTCTGGAACACGGGCGGTTTGGGTCAGGAATCCTTGCCCTAAGCCCTGTCCCCAACCCCATGAGTCAGAAACAGGAGAATTGTCAGCATAAGCCCTCTTGAAAGGAGCAGTTTGCCTTGACGGTGGACCACGTCCAGCTCCCGTGCTGATGTTTTTGTAAACAGAAACACCTGGATTTGGTGGGTTTTCCTGAAAGAAACAGAGGGACTTTATGCAGGGGTCCTGAGAACAAGGATATATGACTTTTGGCCTCCACGGGCTGCTTATCCCCATTCAGCGATCGTTTACCCTAAGCTCTAAACAAAACAAGCATTCTGAGCCGACCGGACTTGGTGAACTGCGGCTTGTGTAGGTGGGGAGCTGCAGGAACTTGTTGCATTGGGTCGAAGCTGCTTGTTTGAAGATGGCTTAAACAAGTTTGCTTTCTGGAATCTGTTAGAAGCCGCGAAAATTTCGACCGTCAGCTTAAACATCACGCGTTTGTGGAGGTGTTACACCTGCTACTGTTGTTGTTGCGTACGCATATTCCTCAGCCGCCGGCAGCCGCAAGAGCTTATCCGATTTGACCCTAAACAGGGTTGCTGCTTGCTTGCTTGTACGGATGATTGGATTGGTTTGTGTGCTAAATTTGATCAATTAGTTGATTGACTGTTTGAGGAGTTGGCGAAGATTGACACATGCAGTCTGGTTCTCGGTTCCTGCCCACTGCCCACTATTCACGTCTTGAATGCCGTAACAGCTTGATTCTGGTCGCCGCTTCTGCATGGGGTCAACGTACTCCGGTGAAGATATTGAGGGATAGTCGGGATAGCTGTTGATACAAGCTGTGGTACTCCATAAGGAGCTTACGAAACACTGTCGGTCACCCAAAATGACGCTAGTGTTGGGCACGATCTTACAAAAATGACTCAGGCGCGAAAACGGCCCAAACGATCTGCAGGTCGGGAGCTCCAGCATGACTGGAGTCGAAACCTTCAACCTCACACACACACACACACACATATGTGTATATATATATATATATACACACATATATATATACACATGAAATACTATACCGACTATACCCGATAATGGACTTTAGGACACAGAAGCTCCGATTTTAGCCTCAGACCCCAAACCGAATCCACTTTGGAGCAAGGCTGCTGAAGCGAAGTGCCCAGCGGAAGGTGAAGTTCTTGGTGCATCACTTCCAGAAGCTCAGCTTGCAAAAACAATCTTGGGGCCGCGGCAAACGAAAGCTGTGGACAGATGTCTCTGCTTGCCAAACTTCTTTAAAGCGAGCCTATGCTTTCGGCGTCTTTTGCTGATGTCTTTTCTTCAGTTTCACAGTTCAGAACCTCCCATGTGCTGAATCCTGAGCCCCAAAGGAGTAGACTTCCAGGATGGTTGGGTTGTTCGTGCTTGCTGGAGCATGAGAGTTGGAACCTAGTCAGCTTTATAGGGGATGGTTAGGGTTTAGGGTTTAGGGTGGGTAGTAGAAGTTCCCAGCAGAGGCTTTTGCAGGCTGGATGCAAAAGGGTTGGCAGTAGAAGTTTGACCTTTGCTTGGGGGTTCACGTGTGCAGAAGCCTTAAAGTAGAGGTTGCCGGTCTCGTCGCGCGTTCGAGCGTGAGAGTCCAAACCGTAGCCTGTGCAGGATCGACAACATGCGGGAGGCAGACAAGCTTCGCCCCATCATCGTGTGCCCGGAGGACCTTCTGCGCCCAAAGAACAACCGTGGCTTGGTACATAGTTTCCGAAAGCTTTGCTCTCCATGTTTAAGAAACCACAGCCGCAGATCTTAAACACCCGAAGCTTTTAGATTCGTTAAGAGTTTAGGTGTTTTAGGGTTTCAAGGTCTTCGATTGCATCCTTGTTGCTGTGAGCTGTTCGGAGAACGCTCTCTCCCGTCACACGCATCGGCCTCAGTACGGGTTTACAAAAGGGTTTCGGGGAACAGGAATGAGGGGCTCACGATGAGAACCAGTGTGTCTTCCGCAGAAATGTTGAATTAGTTCTTGATGGTGACCGAATTCTGGAGATTTAGCCCTTCACGCCCCGAATTCTACAAGCTTGAAACCTAAAACCCTGTTTGCAGCACAGCCACTCTTGACTTAAACCCCAAGCCCCAAGCTTGCGACCCTAAACCTAGGCCCTATCAACATCGAAGCTTAAATCTACCGCAGGATAGCGGCTACCACAGCGACCGCCGAGAGCGGCTCCACAAGCACAAAGGCCGCAAAGGCAGCACGGAGCCTTGGCGACGTGGGCAAGATTCAATCTCCAGGGTGCTGTAGGGTTTAGGGCTAGAAGGGCTTCCTTGCTATGGTTATACCATACTAGACTCCAAAACCTTATTCCCGCTAGTAAGGACCCTAGATGTTGGGTTTGAGATGTTGGCGTTTTTCGGGTTTCGAGCTTTCGCGGCTTTGGGATGTGGTTAGTTTTAGAGTCTTGGTCTGGGCTTTCCAGGGAAAGCGTGCAGAGGAAATTTAGGGCTGTTGGGGCTTTCGTCACGACTCAAGAGACACAGCCCCTAAACCCTTAACCCTAAACCTGGGCGGAATCCACTTTCTGGACATCGGCGACCGGATAAGGGACGTCTAAACAAAACCAAACAAAAAAATAAACCCTAAACCACCCAAAAAAACAAAACCTCAACCACAAAGCTTGCTTGTTTGGGACATGCCGAAGGATTCGGAGACGATTCCTTTCGTGTACTTCTGCAGCTTGGCTCTTTCGCGTTCAGGCTTCGAGCTCAGGGTTTAGCCACGCATCTATAATATATTCCGTTATAATATGTTAATTTAACGTATTATTTGTCGCATTATATTACTACTAGGTTATTACTATGCTATATTCCGCTATCTTACATCAAACTATGTTGTATTATACCATTAGGACATTATGTCTAGTCTGTGTTCGTTATATCAGTATAAAGTATATTATGTACTACTAGGTTATGTTGTATCATATTATCTACTATATGCTGGATGCAACTCCCCCATCTTTAGCTGTTGTCCCAGGCATGGAGAAGTTGCCAAGCGGCATTCTCCACTTCAAGGAGTTCAGATTTCAGATCGTCGAGTCCGCACAATTGTCACCCAGAGAGCCCAATACCCCTTAATTAAGGAATATGGCTTAAATCATAATATGACGCCCTATATAAGTGAAGCCATATTCCTAATTAAGGGGTATTGGGCTCTTTGGGCAAGAGGGTGCAGGTGATCAGGTCGACCACGAGCTTGAAGTAGGGTTTAGGGTTTAGGTCTAGGGTTTAGGGTTCATGATCGCCCTAGCGATGACTTGCAACTGAGAATGAAAACTCGCGGAGCCTGTTGAGGCATTTGCCTGATGCAGCAGAACCTTGCATGCTAAATCCTGAAACAACCCATGGCTGGCCCTGACCTTTCCAAACTCTGGAATCGCGTACTCTAAACACCTAAGCCCTAGACGCCCTCGACCCCTTGTAAACTCATATCGGAGATTCCTTAAATGGGGGGGGTACCATATGGTAGGGTCCTTAGACCAAGGATCCTACCATTTAGGGTGCTATATTAGGGTCCCTTCATATTCGGAAACTTCCACCTTAAACCCTAAACCTTCTTAGAACCCTTTAAAGGAACCCTTATGGTACTCTTCAAAGGAACTCCTAGTTTTCGGAAACCCCCATATCTCAGACTTTCTTAGCCGGAGGAGCTCACCCTGCTGCTGCAACCGGTGATCGTTCGGCTGGACCTTGTGTGGCTTGGTGAGTTCTTCTGGTGTAATGTAGGGGCCTTAATAATCAGAATAGGGTTTTGGGGCCCGTTATACTACAACTACAATAAGGAACTCCCAAAATAGTATAGGTAATCAATTATTACCGCCCCTGCAGGAGGATGTTCGGTCTGCCGTCAGGTGCTTGCAGCAAACGAACGCAAGAGCTAAGAGTTTGGGAAGTGGTCTTGCGGATCGTGCTGCGAGAATCTGTCAGAGTTTGCTGCAATTCCACAGCCCGGACACTGGTTGGTGCGGATTGCTCGGATTCAGACGCAGGCAGTTTCACGAGACTTGATTTCGGAAGATGCCAAGACCAAGCAAGAAGCAAGCGCACATGTGAACAGCACTGCTTTGGAAGCAGATGAGCCATTTTTTCTGCTAGTTGTTTTGCAGCAACTGCCTGCTGGTGGCGTGTACGTTCCTGATACACCCCAACCTGAACACCTGAAGCCTTGTGCTGCATCCCGGCAAAGGACCCTGTCTCAGGTTCTGGACCCAGGCCCCTAAGGCCAAACAAAACTGTAGCCAGAAACCTGAGGTTCTGGGTCAAGGTGGGCCAACAGCTCTTTGAGTGGGCAACAGTGGACAGCGGGTCGGCGAATGCAGGCCGAGCCTGAAAAGGGATGTTGAGGGTAGGCTCTGGTGGCCAAGATCGTAGACCGCGCAAGGATGAAATTATGAGCGTAACGATGCCGACCCGGAGGAGGACGACGACGCCAGCCCGAATACCAAGCTTTGATGATGATGATGATGATGATAGATGATAGATGATGCTAAGCATGACCAGGGTCATAGTGGTGAGCAGGAGGAGAAGGAGGACGGTGACGATGAAGATATGGACCGCCTCGGTTGCATAGTTACTAGGGTCCAGATTTGATTTTTGGTAGGTGTCCTCCTGATGACGATAGCCTAGTAGTAGAGTATATACAGTAGTCCCTATATAATCACAATATTCCCAAAAAGGCTAACCTCTAGTTTCCCCCGACAAGTAGGATAGGTATGGAACCTCGGCCCCCAGCCCCCAGCGGAAGACGGCTTGGATTCGGAGCTTGAGGAGATGTTTTCTTTGCAGCCGCTGGGCTTTGCAGAAACGCAGCGGCAAGCGCACTTGCAGTACGGAACAGTACGTGGCAAAGAGGGTGAACGCAGGTCTGCAGCTGCATGAGATCAACTGCGGCGGAAGAACAATCCTCCAAAACCCTGCGCAACCCTAAACCCTCAACCGTGGCTCCGCGATCCTTAATAAGGGACCTTGAGGTTGAGAGATGTTCAACTCCATTAAAAGCCTCCTAGCACGAAGTCCCTCGGGACAGCTTTGGGTGACAGAGGCCTTAATTAATTGTGCTTAGTTCTTTTGTGGCTTTATGCACAATAAGATTCGGGAACCTGAAGAGTAGTTCTGTAAGCCTTAGACCGTATGCAATCCCCGAAACCCAGAAAAAGAAGGATTCAATGCAGGCAGCTCCGCGGAAGACCGTGAGATCGTGGCCAAGCAGGTCTTTCTCCTTCGGGAAGGAGGAGTGGGAGAGCCCGCAGGTTCAGGGTATCAAACGTGGTAATACAAAGGTATGATGAGGATTCTGTAAGGGTTTAGGCGTCGTTTAGGGGGTTGGGAGATCAGCGGAGCTTAGGAGCTTTGAAGGGTGGTGGTGTGATGTGGTGTGTATGGTTCAGGGTTGGGTGGCGTAGGGTCTGCGCGATTTTAGGCACGGATCCGGCTTGCTGTTCAGATGCCTGGCCGCAGGAATTGAGGTGCCGTCAAGCTCAACCACGCGCCATCCCGTCTACTTCGAGTACTTCCGTTTGGGAGCCGCCGCATGTACATGGGTAGATCTCTCCCTATCTCTCCCTGTGTGAGTCAACCTTGATCCCTTGACATTGGGCACTAGGGACTGGAGTTCTGTGAGAAAGCCCCATCATGGCATGCAGAGGAGTGTTCCACCCGTGGTTTGTCAGGAGCACTGATTGCTCAAGTTGAGATCTTGATGCCCATGAAGAGCAAGCTCCTGAAGAAGCGGCAGGCTGTGGACAAGCAAAAGTTGCGCCAACATGTAAAAAAGCAGGTCTCCATGCGTGACGTCTCCGACATCTTACCCTGTGGAGTGGTTTTTGCCAGAACGGTCCAGTCCATGCAGGCTCTTTGGGAACACTGCACATGCCTTGCAGGCCAATTCCGGCGTTGCCTCGTCCATGTTCGAGGATACGAGAATAAAAGTAATGATAGTTAATAGTAGTAACACCGAGTTGCTGGATTCGTGGCTTCCATGAGAAGCTTGAACTCGCACTTCTCATAGCACGCAGCACGCAAGACTGATGACGGGTGTTCGGAAGTGTCCCGTGCCTCAGGACCATCTACAATCATCTTCATAAGCTCCGTCTGTTCAGAACCACAGCACATGCTTGGATGTACATGCAGACGTCATTAATTTGCGAATCTCCTCACCTCGGAGAGTGGAGCATAGAATCCTGATCATGGAGCCCATGTTCTGATTAATGCTCAGAACTTGGATCCCCATGCTGGGGTATGGAACAGGGGTTTCTCAAATAGGAATCTGCATCGCACCGTGTAATCCCGACCGTCGGAGGACGAGGACGACGAGCAGGATGCGCAGATGCTTCAGTATTCTGGCAACTACTGGGCATTTGCAGTTCTCGCAGTGGAGCAGGGGCAGGGTACTAGGTTTCCACAGCGACCCCTGGAGCAGCAGAGCTACGTTCTATCGGGTTGCAGGAGTGGTTTCAAGCAAAGGACGGCGTTACATTACATGCCACAGCCCCAAGCTACCGGATCCGAAACATCAACCCTCCCCAAACCATAAGCCGAATCCCTAAACCGCCTAAACCCCCAAACTTCACATCTCCCATCGTCCTTGCTAGGTAGGAGTGAAAAAACATCTCCCATCACTTAGCCTCCTGAAACACACGTCGTGGAGTCTAGGAAATACTAGCAAGCATGAGCTGAACAGTGAACCATAGTGAGGCTGATATCAATCTCCGTAGTCCAGCCGTGGCAGAATGATCGAAGAACACGAAGCGAAAGCAATAATGTAAGCAAATCAGACCAAATCTAGTCTTGGACACCGCAACTAAAACATCACCTCGCGGCGCGTCCGATCATGGCACAACGATCAGAAAGTGAAGCAGGCAAAGGCATTAGCAAACTAGAAGTGCCAGTGTTGATGGGCATCGTCGTCGTAGCAGTAGCGGTCATCATAACTGTCATTTACTGTCAGAAGGCGCATCGTAATACTGAACGAAACTAGAAGAAAAGTTGCAATGGTCGCACAGAGAGAGCTGGGCCAACAGCAGCTTGTAACAGCGTGTGAGCATGTAATGTAACCTGCTTGGCCAGGTCAATGTGGCTGTCCCAGATTCTGGCACGTTTGACCCACCGATCACACGGCCTGGTCAAGACTCTTTACAGCCATTCAGGGAGTGATGAGTACTTCCTAATGGGTTCTGATGGTTGACGGTAGCTCACAGCCTCCAGTACTTCAAACGCTTTGCCACTGGTACGATCCCGGATCCTGAATGATCGGGAACAGCCTTTGAAATTGGATTGGGGGTGTAACTTGGAACGCCGGCTGGGAACATCCGTGTTTCTTGTCTGTTAGGACCACGGACAGTCTGCACTATCCTTGTGCAGGATGCAACCTCAGAGCATCAGAAAGTTTCTGCTCAAGAGACACGACCAAGGAAAGTTCTGATGGTGGCGCAGAAAGGCCTTCTCTTCGTGGTCACGAGTGCATCTCGGTCCTTCAAGTCTATGGAAGCCTGAAGCATTGGGAATTCATGTAGTTCCCGAGACTTGCAGTCTTGACCCGGTTAAAGATTCTGAGCAGGGAAGTGCGGCATCATTGATCACTGAACATCATCAATATCTTGAAAAGCTCCAGGATGCAGATGGCATGGACCACACATAGGTAGGTAGCTCGGCGTTCAGTTTTAAGTCAGGGTGTGTGGTGGTGTCAGCATGGGGCAAGGGCAGACTATTTCGCGAAGCATGCCTTCCATGCATCAGAAGCCGCTGCTAACAGCACATCCCCAAGTTTTAGTCAAAGTTGCTGGGCTAAACATCCTAAACCCTAAACCCTGAAACCATCGGGCCTTAATGATTAATACGAAGATCATGACAGCAATCAGCGATGGCAACAAGCTGCAAGATGTACTATAGGGGGCCTAAATAATTACCTATGCTTTGAGGGGTCTATCAGGGATCTACAGATATCTACAGTAGGGTTCTATGGTATAGGGGGCCTATAATAATTACCTATATTTTTTTGCGGGTTCCTTATTGTAATTATGGTATAATAGGCCCCAAAACCCTATTCTAAGTATTAATGCCCTTATAGACAGCTCCTTCCAGCATGCGGTGAGGTCGGCAGCGGCGTGCTTTCTGGAGTGGGGCACATGACGCCACGCTTCGCTTTCCCTGAGACGCATGGAGCTGTTCAGCATGAAGTTGTGGCAACGTTGTTTGCGGCCCACTCCTCTCTCCTACATTTCCACAGAATCGGAGAGGCGTTTGCTCTCCAAATCCGCCTGTGTTAAATGCATTTCTGCTGGCACGCACTACGTGTGGTCATGCTGTGGCCATGCCGCAAGCGCTGTAGAAAAGCTGTACCACGTAGATTTCACTTTCTCATCATCAGTCCTACCATGATCACGATTATTGCCGACCCCAATCTCTGATGATACTGCAGTCGCTGAGCACACGTGATAACGGATAAACGGCACAGAAAGGCGACAAAAAGCCTTAGAACCCTAAAGCACACTGTCGCCTGAGCCGCAAGAGTCAGATCTCGGGTCTTTGCTTTAAGGACTGTCTTCCAACGGACGCTGGAAGATTTGATGCCTTTCCTGCCCCCAGGTCCATTTAGGGTGTCCTGGTGTTGCCAGGCATTCGGTTTCGGTCAAACTTCAGCATGCTTCGGGTGGTTCTTCATCTTCCCCAGACCAGGAGTTCCAAGCTGAAGAAGGGCAGGCGAAGCGAACATGCCCGCATGTTTGCCCGGTCCATACAGCTTACTTGTTCAACCTGCAGCTGCCCTCCTGCGCTTCAGCCCAGGTACAGCTTGGTCCGCGATTACGTGAAGACTGGCATGCACCTCGACAGGGTCCAGCAGCACAGCATTTTTAAAGTTGCTACTGCGGCCATCGTCGCATGCTAATGACATGTACCCACCCTGTTTCCTTCAATATGACGTGAGCAGTATCCTGTGGCGTTGCTGAGTTGACGCTACTGAGTCACCACTCTTCATTTCAGTTGTGATCATGCAGTTGTTGTTCTTGTCATTTCGCTCCGCCATGTCGGCGACCGTTGGCAATGTTACAGGCGCATGCTGCAGAAGTCAAGCATCTCCCGAAGCGGCTTAAGCATGCTGACCTTGAACGACAGAGGCCAAAACACTCAAACCGACAGCCTCCTAGAGCCGGATCGGAATCCCTAAACGCTGAACCCTAAACCGGAATCTCTGAGGTATCAGTTCTGGAAGGTCTTATTCAGCATCAACCTCCTGGGCGATCCAGTTGGCTTGACGACCTCGGTCACAGGCGCTTGCGGGTTCTTCCACGCTTTACCTTTTGTGTGTCAGGCCCTAAACCCAAGACTCGAAAGCCCTAAGCCCAGCCCAAGACCCTAAACCACCGGGGGCTCGGGTCGATGTTGGATTGCAGTCGTTTGCCCATTTCGGGGGCCCCAAACACTGCTCACACGAGGTTACATCTGCCGAAAGCTGCCGAAAGACAGCCCCAAACTCATTAACCCTACAACCCTACACTTCCTAAACCCTGAAGCATAGTTCCCCCCCCCCTCTGCTTCCCAGCGATCAGGCGGAGTCATGAAGTTCTTCCGAAAAACGGGCAGCGAGGTGACTCCCCAAGCGTGCGGGTTTGTCTTAAACGCTCTGGTTGAGTGCATTAGCAAGCATAGTGGTAAGGATAGCACGATGAGGAAGCTACCCAAGTGTGATATCAGTGGCACAATTGGTAGTGCATGGGGCGGCAGGGTGTCAGCAAGCTTGCAGTCGTGGCGAGAGGGAAGAGCTGCAGCAGCTCGCAGTTTGAAGACAGAAAGGCTACAGCTGCTGAGGCGAGGGCTTGAAAAGAATGCCCAGTAGCCCCAGCCCGCCCCCCCTGAAATCCTCAGCTCGCAGGGATCGGACTTTGGACTTCGACCCCGCTAAGTCTCAAGTCCAAAACCTAAAGCTTCGTGAAACTCTTTCTAAAACCTGCATTTGTTTGACCCGATTAAGAATCCGAAACGCATCTTGGCCTAGAGTGCATATGCAGCAAAACATATCGCAAGAATACGTAGCGGCTCCTTGTAGTAGCACTTGGTAGCCGATTGCGTCAACCGACCCGTGGCTACAAAGAACCTAGTTTCGACTCGAGAAAGAACGTACCTAAAGCATTGCAGGGCCGGTATGTGGCTGTTTTGTTATATCCATTCTTTTGCAATGCGCCCTGTTGACACCCATACTTTCGACCTAAGCCACCGCAAACCTCAAAGTTACTGCACAGCTCGAAGCAACACCCTCACTGCGACAACCACTCCCACTGCTTTCTGTCGCATCTGTCGTTCCTAGCACGAGTACTGCTGGCTGGTACCATGGTACCATTGCAACATGTATCGTGTGGGTAGGCTTACTTTCCACCACGATCGGCCGGGTTCCAGGTCATCGCCGGGGATCTCAAGGGGGAGGGGCTCCTTAGTCTGGCACAAGGACCTGCGCCATCGGAATGGGTGGGTTCTGGTTCAGGTTTCGCGGGATCTGAAGTTTGGAGGACACCCTTCAAATCTACGAAGCCGAGATCCAAAACGGTTCATTCTTGAGCCCGTTCGGGTTGCTCTCAGGGTTGAGGGTGGCCGGAGCCCTCATGACAGTTGTCGTGTCGTGCCTTTGCATTCCATTTCTCTACTGGTTCTGTGGTCGGGAAGGGGCGGCGTAATGAACTCCAACCGGAGTCGGATAGTTTTTTTGTTGAGTAGGCTTTGTTCATTGGCTGTTCCGGTCAACTTCCCCATGGTTTCAACTCTGGGATCCGGATGATGGTTCAGCGTCATGGCCCCTTACTCCCTGGTGCTTTAGTAGGGAATGGGGGAATGGATCCTTATAGTAGTCCATATATAATCCCCAAGAGTCGTCCCCAGAATCCACTTCCCCATTCCCTACTAAGAACCAGGAAAGTATAGTATAGTACCCTTATAGACCCCTTTAAGGACCCTTTTAAAGGAACCCTTATAGATCTTTTATAGGAACTCTTAAAGGAACCCTTATAGATCCCTTAAAGGACCCTTTGAGGAGTCTTTTAAAGGAAATCCCACCGGTGTGGCGAGGAGTGGTTGGTGGCACTGCAGCCACTGCCGGGAAGTTCTTTGGAGCCCTTGGCCGCCTGACCTGAAAACTTTGCAATAGTTGGGTTTTTGTTTGCACATTTATGGGTACTTAAACCCAACCATGAGCTAGAAAAGCCATCAGCTTTGGTACTATAGCGGGGTTTAGGGTTTAGGGTAGCTTGAGGGGTTTGGGGTTTTGGGGGCTTTAGGGGTTTAGGCTTTAGGGTAGGTTTCCGCAAATTAGGGGTACCTTATTTTGATTCTGGGCTCCTTATAATAAGGATCCTACCATTTAGGGTGCTATCTTCGGGTCCCCCATTTTCGGAAACTCCCATATCGGGGTTTAGGGTTTAGGGTAGCCTTTGGGCTTCGGGGTATGGGTTTCTTTTTCGTGGGCTTCGGGCATCGATGGGTTTCTGACATCAGGGTCGACTGCATGGAGTTACTAGGCATGTTGATCAGCACTGTTTCTCTCCACGGTCACAGGCGACACTGTGGATGCATTGGCGCAGACTGGTGGAGACCGCGATCGCCACTACCAGCCGCCTGGGCGGTCCCAAAAATAGCAGGCTAGCCTTCAGGGCATGCACTTCCATGGTGATGGGACACGTGTACTTCTTCTTCTTCGCGAGAAGGCTGGAGTAGGATTGGAGATGCCTCCTAGTGGAGCCCAAGATTGGTAAAAGCATCGGAGAACCATCGCGAGTCACCATGCACCTGCAAAATTCCCCAGGGGTGTGGTCAAGAAGCACCATCAAGTTGAGACCGACATGCATACCTGCTGCTGCCTTGTCCCGTAGAAACTGGAAGAAATATGACGAAGCAATCGACACCGGGAGCAGGGTAATCACAACTGTGATTACTGTTCCGACGGGCACCTTTCCACATTGCAGCTCGGACATCCCGATGAAATGTAAGTCTACAGTTAGAAGAGATCAGGCTTAATTCTCCGCAGCAGAGCCTTCTGCTAGCCAGCTTACAGGATCCCGTCGGTAATAATTTAGGGTGTAGGAAAGGGGGGATGGCATGTCGAGTCGCCCCCGCCAAACGGTTACGAGGTCCCTGCCTTTCGCCTCTTACCGTCCTCCCTGCATTCTGCCTGCTCGTCGCGAAACACGAAAATCATTTCATTGGAACTACTCCCTTGTTCTGTGGCTCAACTATGACCATTACCTTTTTAAGGTTCCTTAGTGTTGTATTCATAAACCATGCTCTACTCATGAAGGCCCCTACATGCATGAAGGCTTGTTGGGATGCCCTCCGGAGCCGTCATGGACCTTGCAGACAAAGGCTCCCCAAAAGCCTAGTCCTGGTCGACTTAGCCCCAACAGACGTGACGAGGCCCGGTTCCGTGAATCACGTTGGTGATGGTCTGACAGCTGGGGCGCAGGCGTGCCGAAGAGGATTCAGGGCAACGTTTCGGGCGAAACTTGATGCGATGAGAAACGGATCTAGGGACGGCTTATACGAGGCGGTGCAATGTGTACCGAGTGTCTCGAGAAACGGTGGGAATCTGGAGCTGCATGGACCATCTCAAACGTCTTATGCCCAAAACCGCCCTACCACACCTTAGTAGCTAAGTAGGTAACCTTTAACCTTTTGTGGCTTAAAAAAGCCTACCATAATTGAAAAGCTTAACTTAACCCTTTTTGGGCTAGGGTACTCAGCCGCTATTTCTGACAGGTCTTCCTGCACGGCGCCACTTCAGGCATCGCCGGCCTCGTGCAAGCGCCGGTCCAAGGCTTCCAGCGGAAAGGACCTTGGTGGGTAGTATTATTAGGGGGGCCCCTTAAAGGGTACCCCTAGGGATCTATAGGGTTTAGAGTTTAGGGTTTAGGGTACCCAGAGACTCCAATATCCCTTAATTAAGGAATATACCTTAGATTATAGCAGGATCCTTAATATGATTTAAGGTATGTTCCTTAATTAAGGGATATTGGAGTCTCTGGGTAGTATTATCTTCTGGCTCTCTTAAAAGGGGCCTTATTGAGAGGGTCTGTATCCCCAAGGGTCCCCCTAATCCTAACTCCCACTTGGGGCTTGCCTGTGGGTTTCAGGGTTTTTTTCGTGAGACTTTCTTGGTTCGATCTTTTAGGGATACCCGGCAGTTCGAGGAGACCTGGATGCAAAAAGGATCGCTTACGGGTGTGACTTTTGGAAATGGCTTTTGTAGAAAGTAGGTATGAGAGCCATGGACCGCTGCCCCATGCTGTTGTGGTTTCAACCTCGTACACCACTGTAGCAATCACGAGATACCGAGACTGAGGCTGTCCCTGCTCGGGTAGAGGCTGCTGATGCTAATGCCGTTTGTCGCCGGACCGTGTTCAAACCAAGATGTCCGAAGCAGCGAAGTCAGATGATGCAGCTTATTTTCTCAGGCCCTGCAAGGATGCCTATCATAGCTTCTGGCATAGGACAAGCCTCAAACGTGGTCCGCAGGAGTGGTTGGGCTGGCCACTGGAATGCTGAAGGGCGCTGCGGGGCTGCTCGCTGTGACATTTAAGTTACGGGTCAGATGTTGGTCTCGGGTTCAGGCAACAAGTAAGAGAGAAGTTGCTCTGCGAACGTAAGCACCTAGTGACAAGCGCCGTGAAAGATGATGGTAGTGGTCGTCACCATTCGACAGGAGAAGAAGCGTGAAAACTAGCAACTGCACAACTACGCTGGCGATCATCGCAAAAAGAGAACATGCTTTCTACATCTCCGAGCTGGGAGTCGGCCCTGAAGCGAGAGTTCCGGGGCGCACGTTGCAGGAAGCAGTTTAGAGGCTGAGCACGGCTTCGGACGACTTGGGAACACTAGGAGTGCCAGGCCTAGGACCCGAGCCCAAACGCACATCGAAGCCAGGCTTGTGGCGAAGCCCGTCAGCGGACTCATGCACGGCGTGCAGCATGTAGCCGCCGGGTCGCAAAGCTACCGAAGTGGGGTCTTTGGAGAAGGCTAAGATGTTAGCTTTGCAGCTGAGCCGACCGCGTTGGATTTGTACGTTCATGCATGGATTGAGTCTCTGAGGCAGAGGGCGTCGATGCGACGACGCGCCTCTGGGATCATGCGGAGCAGATCTTCAGCTGCAAGAAGAGACATTACTATTAGTGTTGCTATTAAGGCGGGCAACACGGTCCCGCATGACCTTCAGGAGGCGAGCAGGCTCTCCCGCATGGACTTGAAAGCGAGACTTACACCTCGGAGCTACATAAAACTCGAGGTCCTGGTCCGCATTGACAGGCGCGATTCGCGACTAAAGCCCCGGTAAAACTGCAAGCCGAAACATGTAAACACGGACAGGTCATCAGCATCAGCTCGCCCGATGGAGATGCACGGTACACTGTGCAAAGGCAACAGTTTTCTTTGAAGATGCGACAACATCAGGCCGACTCCAGCATCCTACATGCTACATTGGATCCCACCGTCGGCTTGATTGCTCCAAGCCCGGCTCCATCCCTCCGCTGAGGAAGGCCTATACATGTTTGCATGCAAGAACAGCAGAGAAGCCCGTGAAGCCCCTCAGCACCGGAGCTCAAGTCGCCTGCTCCATCCAATCCACTTGCCTGTAAGACGACAGCGCCAACAACTTGAGGCCAGACTCAAGCCACAATTAGGGGACCCTCAATACAGGAACTTGCAATCTCACCCAATTAAGAGATTGTAAACTCTGTGGGAAATGAACGCAAATCCGTGCAGAGGGCAAGACAGGGTGCCTTCATCTTTCATGCTGATCTATGCAACTTCCGGGGGCGGATGCCATTGCGCCAACGTCAGGTGGAAGAATTTCGGAGCTGCCACGAGGTCCTGGTCCTGGCCCCTCTCCCACCCAAAGGTACTACGGTTCCAGCAAGCTTGCCAGCATCAAGACCCTAAAGCAATGTATCTGAGACCAGTATCGCTGCAGACCTTGCCAGGCTTTGTCCGAGCGTGAGTGTCTAAAAGCCAACACCAAACCCCAGTCGCAAACCCCAACACCAGACATTACCAAAATTACGCTTAATTTAGGGTGCTAGTACATTATTCCCCAAAAACCCTGTTCTAGTTAGTAAGGCCCCTATATTACACTCTGGGCCCCTCAGTCCCAGGATTGTGCGGCGACGGGAGCCGCGCGGATTGCCCAGCGGTGCCAAACTCGTGCCCCTGGTGGGTGCAGAGCTCCTTGACATGAGCTGCAAGCTGCCTTATAAGATTTCTACTATTTGCTTAAGAACCCCCAAAAAATAAGATAAAAAAATAATATATTCCTTATGGTGGTAATATAAGGATTATTTTTTTATTTTTTGGTGGTTTCTTAAGCAAATAGTAGATTTGGTTTGGGTTTAGGAATAAATTCAGGGTTTTGGACTATAATTAAGTAGGTGCAGGGGAACATCCAGCTTAACTTGCTAGGGTTTACATGTAGCCTAGCCGCGTGCAAAAGTCCGACGACAGAGTTTTTCAGTTTCCCTGAGACCCTGAGTGCGAGTTTAGGAGCTGGTTTCATACGGGGATTTCCGAAAACTATGGGTACCATATTTGGGGCCCTTATAATAAGGATCCTACTATTCAGTTTGGGCCCCCTATTTTCGGAAACTCCCTTACCCTTAGAGCTGAAAGCTTCGAGACCCTCACCCCCTCACCTGACCGTTCTCTCGCTTCCGAGCTTGGCCGTTCGGGCTACATGGGAGTTTCCGCAAATTTGGGATACCCTATTTGGGATACCCTATTTGGGGTCCTTATAGTAAGGATATGTAAGGATCCTACTATTCAGGGTACTGTATTGGGTCCCCCTATTTTCGGAAACTCCCATGTTGCAAGGGTTCTCCAGCACAGGTCCGAGTGCCAGAGCGCAGTAAGGATGGCCAAGACACCTACATCCAACAGCTACAAGCATCTTCGTGCGAACTGCTTGCGCCAGCTCCGGTCAGGGTTTAGGTTCCAGCAACATCGAGTTCCAGTGAAAAAGCAGGCATGGCAGATCCGCTGTTACTGTAATCTAGGGGCCAGAATAACTACCAATACCAATTTGGGGGCTCCTTATTGCAAACATAGTATAATGGGCCCCCAAACTCTATTCGAACTATTAAGGCCCCGCTATTAAACTTGATGCCGCTTGCACGTCCGAAGTTCCAAACCCATTCGGCGGCCACAGCCCAGGTTCTCGCCGCGGATAACTGCCGCCTAGCTGCATTTTCCCTTGACACCCAGCGACATTAAGGAATACTTTAAGGGGTGTATAATAAGGGGTCTATAGGATTCAGGGTTTAGGGGACTCCAACATCCCTTAATGAATATTACGGAATATACCTTCAAGGGATATAGGAGTCTCTGGGCATGTAGGGGGCTCATTGTGGAGAGGGCTCTTGGATCAGGCATCGCACACTTTGGAAACAGCTGCTTGCGGTCTTGACCACCCCCATGTCATGAGGCCTGAAGCACTCAGAACCCCAAAACACAGAATGGCCAATGTGTAGCCGTGCACCCACATGGGCCTTGCACAAGGTCTTCTTGGAGGCATTGGAGTTCCCAACTGTCGAGAGCTCCGTGGCAGACACCAGTCGAGGGTCTCCGGTTTCGGGAGCCCTTGCGAGAAAGGTATACTGCCTCTGTACTTCATGCATGTATGCCTACATACATAAATATGTGGAGGTTAGTTTGTATTGCTGCTACACACTCTTTGCATACCTGCTGGATAATATATATAAGTCTAGATTCTCGATACGTGATCGCAGCTTGGATTGGAACGAGGGGCTCTGCCGCGAGGCTTCTACGGTACATCAGCGGTGATGAGCCGAAGGCTGCGAGGCGCCACTTATCGAGCCGCCACGGCTGCACATCCAAGTTTTCGTTAGTGGCTAGAAGGTTGAGAGTTTCGCTATGTAGCGCTCAGGAATTAGGAGAACGGGTTCCGATTTATGCCGAGATGTCATATTATAGTTCTGTTGGGAAATCTCTGACAAGCTGAGCGGGGGACGGCCCCACCAGCGCGTGACATTATAGCTTGGTACGAGAGACGCTCCCCTGCCCCATCAACTCGCGAAAATGAGATCTTCGGAATAGGACGCTGGCCTACTTTTCGAGATATTCATCACCTGAACACGACACGGGAATAACAGACGACAGTCAGCTTGGCCACTGGCACGTGCATGATGTCCTCACCAAAAACTGGCTCGCCGCAAAACCCTGACTGAGGTCGAGCTCTCGGCGCAAGGCAGTGGAGGTCGCCATCTCATGGGAGTTTCCGAAAATCAGGGGTACCTTATTTGGGGTCCTTATAATCAGAATCCTGCTATTTAGGGAACTATATTGGGGTCCGCTGCCAGTTCTTTTGGTTCGACTCTGGAGATTCATAGGGTATCATTGGGGCAGGTTGGTGTCACGTTGCTTGATCTCGGCTTCACGGGTCGCGCACCTAAGTATCACACTTCCGGTCCACATCAGAGGCGTCCAGCACAATCATAAATGGGCAAACGTTCTCAGAAAGCACGGCGCAGGGTCTGAAGCTGGACATATAGTGAAGGATTACCCTAAGCACTCTCATTCTAAAGTATTCTAAAGACGAGCCCCCCGCAACCTTGACAGATCGCGTTGACTACATTGCTGAAGTAGCTGGGAAGCCTCTATACTCCTCCAAAGCCTACAACTACATGCAAAAGCCTGGACAAAGCCTGTGAAGCCATGTGCAAAAGTGATACATGTTTTACACATGTTGTTAGATGTTCATACCCGGCAGATAAGGTTGTGTGTTTACACTTGGCCAGGCCGCTAGACTTTTCTGTTGTGTGCGCGCTGAATGTGCTGTTCCTTCAACCCTTAATTTTTTTTGTCGAGTTCTCATGCCCATCCATATCGGGGTTTCCAAAAATAGGGGACCCTTAGTAGGATCCTTGTTATAAGGACCCCAAGATAAGGTACCCCTGTTTTCGGAAACTCCCATATGGGCTCTTTGCCGGTGTGACCTCGAACTGAGAAAGTCAATGCAGCTAGTGTTTCAACTTGGCCTCAAATCCTATGTACGTCATGTACGTCTTAACATCCATAAACTGGATCAACTCCAAGGCTTTGGGCTAACAACCCCTAGAAGAACCCATGAGCATGCTTTTCAAGCCTTATAGAAATGCGATATACTAGTCTGCAGACTATGTTTTAAAACTATTGCCAAACCCTTCAAAATCCCCGCGCAACCCGTTGCAAAATCCCTGGCAGCAACCGTTAAACCAACCCTAAACCTTGTGCTAGTACTCCAGGAGCCCTTGCAGAAGGGAACCAATGGGAACCTCTTAAAGGAACCCTTACCCTTATTGCGGAACCCTCAAACCCTACACCCTCATAGAAACCTATGAATATGAAGGAAATCTTGGAAAGATCTTAAACCCTAACCCTATACCCTTAACCCTACATCCTAAGCCGAAGACCCTTTAAAGAATGCATCGGCAAGGCCGCTGGTCGAAGGCCTCGAAGCTCGGGCGCCTCACGCGCGACGGCTCAGTTGCCTTCAACGAGGCCTCAGCCGCGCTTTTCTGCCTGTTTGTGCAGGGTCAGGCTTGCAAGGCAAGGAGCAACCCAGGGCAATGTGCACCGCAGCCCCTGCTCAAAAAAGGCAGAGGGTTGTGTAGGGTGATGTAAGCAGTTTCTGTGGGCTTTGAAAGGATGTTCTGAGGTTTTTCCGGGGACTGCATCGGGGCTTTATCGGATCTTCTAGATTCTATATTTTTCTGGTCCTATACAGCTTTCGGGCTAAGGAGTTTCGGGTTCAAATAGGGTCTGAATACTTGTCCCTATCCAGCTCTAGCTCTCGAGGCCCCAAACTTTATGATAATTGTTGAGGCCCCTACATTCGAGGGCTTTGGGCTCTGGGATGTTAGGGTTTGGTGCTTTAGGGTTCAAGGGGCTTAGAATTTGATTTCGCATCCCTGGGCTCTGGGTTTACGGAAACAGCCTGCAGTTCCAGTTTCGGTCGCGTATCAACGCTCATCACGTCGCATACTGTAGACCCCCAATGAATACTGTAAACCCACCTACCTTGCAGGTGATTGACACAGGGATAACGAAGCTTAGCATCTTAGAGACGGGGAGATGATGAACCAGGGCGGTCTACACTAGTTGTCGCTTTTGCTGTGTTTGTACATGCAGGCTGTCGTCGCAGTTCCGAATCGGTGGTTCAGGATGTTCATCCGCCTTTGGGGCGGTTGTTTACAAAGTTCTTCTTCTTGACGTCGCATCTAGCTTGACGAGCCCATCGGGCAGATTCCCAACAACCCTAAACCTCGATTTGGTGCTACTGTAGTGATTCGGATTGTGCAGAGCCTTGCCTGCTTTGTGCGACTTAGGAAACCCTCAGAACTTCCTGGGGCTGGTGCAAAAGTTTCAAGATGTCATCCTTCCGAAGGGTTCCCAGGTGCAGGCTGACCTCTAAAGTGCGTCGCTGCCTCTTTTACCATGCATGTGACAACAACCACTGTAGTAGTGAGATGATGGAGCTTCCGAAAATAGGGGACCCTAATATAATATTAGCACCCCAAATAGTAGGATCCTTCTTATTCAGGACCCCAGAATAAGGTACCCCTCATTTTCGGGAACTCCCACGATGAAGGTAGAGACTGCGAGGAAGCCACAGAAGGAGGGACCCTTAATGGGGACCCTTACCCTATAATGGGCTAAATAACGGGTATATAACAGCTAAATAAAGGGTATATACGATCCTCGAACTTTGTCAGGTGAAGTGGGTGCCAACGCAGACATTGGTCGAGGCTGCCACTCGGCCGCAGGGCCTTAATAAATGGAATAGGGTTTCGGGGGATATTATTTTATAACTATACTAAGGACCTCCCAAATTAGTATACGTCATTATTGAGGCCACTATACTATGCAGCTGCACTTGACAAGGATTCTTGTCTTTCCTCTGCCAGCTGCCAGCACTACCACTCTACGTCCCCGCAAACTACCCGGTACCTTGCAATTCAAGCAGATCTCCGAATCTCTTGAAAGCTGCCTGCCTGTAAAGCCTAAAATATTGTAATCTCCAAAACCTTCGTGAGAGTATGACGGGCCCAATATCCCCTTCATTGCCTGGAGCCGTGCCTGCCTTATGCGAGCGCGAGCATTGCAAGCACATTAGTGTACGATGCGAGCGAAACTGGGCTGTCTAGAATGCTAGATAATCATATAGAGTCCTCAGAGCCTTCATACGTAGCAAGCCATATGAAATCCCTTCAAACTTCCTAGGACGCTTACTTACAATGAATCCAGAGACTCCAGTATCCCTGAATTAAGGAATGTACCTTAAATCACATTAGGGATCCTACTATAAATTCATGTTTATTCCTTAATGAAGGGATATTGGAGTCCCCTTAACCCGAAACCTTATAGGTCCCTAATAGGAACCCTTATAGGATCCCGTTAACGGGATATGGGAGTCTCTGGGAAACCCTGCCAGCCTAAGCTGCCCAGGATGTCGTGGTTGAAGTGCAGGACTGTGCGCTCTCAGGCAGGGTGGGCTTTTAATTTTGCTGCTACGAAGGTAGTTTACAGGAAACAGAAGACTCCTTTGGCTTTGTAGGCTTTGTATTCAAGGTTTAGCCTTCAAACTGTTCTGCGACAGTTGCTTCACTAAGTTGTACTTGTGACCCTGCAGTGGTACGACAACTCAGCATACGTAGCATATCTTAGAAGCTGCCCCCACCCTGTAATAGTGGTATAATAAGAATATGATAGGGCCCTAATATAATCCTTATAGTCACTATAACAGGGTGGGGGCAGCCTCTAAGGCATATCATCGCCCGTGGCCTCTTAAGTGTTTGTGATTTGCAAACCCCAAATGCCCGAGTTTAGAGTCGAAATCTGCACTACTATAGGGGCTTCCATATTATGATCCCTTTGTTATGATTATAGTATAATGAGTCCCATAACCACTACTATAAGGGCTTCCTTATGCTGATTATAGTAGAATGGGCCCCCATCACCCGATTCCAATTATTAAGGCTGCACTACTGCAGGGGCTTCCTTATTGTGATTATAGTAGAATGGGCCCCCATCACCCTATTCCAATTGGTAAGGCTGCATTACTATAGGGGCTTCCTTATGCTGATTATAGTATCATGGGCCCCATAACCACTACTATAGGGGCTTCCTTATTATGACCATAGTATCATGGGCCCCATAACCACTACTATAGGGGCTTCCTTATTATATCATGGGCCCCATAACTCTATTCCAGTTATTAAGGCCCCTATATTACGCTCGACAGTCAGCTGGAAAGCCCACGGCCGAGCCTGGCCACAGGCGATCCCACGAATCCGGAGCCAGAAACTCCGGCTGCAACGACTTTTCGGGTTTAGGGATGATGATGCGGAAGTTGAGGTCTAGGTTTAGGTGGAGTTTCAGGAGTCTGAACTATGATGCAGGATGTAGGGTTTTGGTGGATGTAGGGCTTGTGATGAAGAATCCGGGTTTAGAATACCCTAAACATCCTTTCAGTTGCTGCCGTGGTGTCAAGATTTGCAAGGATTAGCGTGCATTTGTCGGGCCATGGTCTCCCTTGAAATTGTGAGCCGTCATGCTTCGCGACGAGTCCGGCTGACACAGCACAGAGACAAAGACTACAAAGCTTGTTTTAGTGCGTGCGCTTGTTGGTAGAATGCTTGTGCAGTGCGTACGGGCTCAGGCAGGTATACGCATAAGCATTTGCGCAATAGGCGCACAACGATTTACGCTTAGATGTGTGTCATTCACCTGTTCGTCTAATTAGCCCGGTGTTCGTTCGGAACCTGGTTTTTTATTGATGTACTTCTAGGTGTCTGCTTCTGTTTATTTGCGGTTGTTTACTTGTGGTTTTTGTTGTTAAATCATATGACCCTATACATTCGTACTTGACCGCCTTCTCCCACCCCCCACTCCACGTAAACCATTGCCGGCACGACAAGACGATACGCATGCCAACACAGCCACAATGACTTCAGAGAGCCAGGCGGCCTGTTGCGTGCAAGCACGAGGCATGCTTCAAATAAAGAGCGCCGAGGTATATCGTGCTGTCCTTCCACGCCAGGCACAGCACGAACTCTCGGCATCTTGACAGCACGGGCTCTGATAGGGACTTCCAACGCAAACTGACGTTGCGATGTCGGTTGAAGGCATACACACCTGTTCCACGGCCAAATTCTTGCGCGGCTGTGTGCAGCTGTGGATGTTTCCCCAAGAAGTTTAAGAAACTCTGATACCACATTATAGTATACTCTATGATAGTATATGATAGTAAAATACATTATAGTACATCATAATAAAGTATAGCACACTATCGTATATTACAGCCGCTTCTCTTCAGGTCTTGGCCCAGGTCGCAAAGCTGCTACGAGACCCGGAGGCTCTGGGAAGCAGGGAAGGCCTCCAGGTCACGCAAATATGGGAGTTTCTTCAACGGGTTTAGGGTCTAGGGCATATGCGTAGTCCAGGTGTAAAAACAAAGGGCTTTAGGGTTCAGGGTTTCCGAAACAGGGGACCCTAATATGGTACCCCAAGTAGTAGGATCCTTGTTATGAGGACCCCAAAACAAGGTACCTCGTAATTTTCGGAAACTACCGCATATTGGAACTGCCCCGCAAGTCAGAAAATCAGGCCCCTAAACCCGAAGTTGTGTGAACTCACACAGCCAGTCGTGATGGCGGAGGAGCCAGAACATGGGATTCGGGTTCACTCACCAGCGGCAGTGCCCGACACTCATTACTTCTAGCTCTTGTGCGCTGCAGCCCATCTTTCGCAAACCATCCTGACCTAAAGCTTCAAAAACTGAGTACAAACTAGGGTTTAGGGTTTAGGGGTCATCCCACAGAAACCCTGGATCCAAGCTCAACTTGCTTTTGAAGGAGTTGGCGGCGCTCGATGGCGTCACTTGTCGCATCCGGCCCAGTCAGCCCTTGCGCATCGGCCAAGGCCTCAGGCGATGCTCTTCACTTAGGGGTACTTAGAAATAATTTCTATTTTTTGGTTATTATAATCCCTAAGAAACAGCTAAAATGATAATTTTGCTAGGGTTCTAAGTTCAGTATAGTTCAAGCTCGGACACGGCTTTTAGGGTTTAGGGTTGTGGTTTTGGGATTCCCAGTGAAACGTCAAGGGGTAAGGGTTTGGGTTTTTGGATTTCCAGTGAAACGTCAGGGGGTAGCTCAATATATAATAAGAGAGCTCCTCACCTGGACCTTGTTCTTCAAAGCATACATTGAAGGTTCCTAATGTTCTATCAATCCTATTTAGACTCGAGCTAGGGTGTTAGGCTCTGATACTGACCATGGCTGGAATTATGGAAGGGTGATTCTGATACTGAGCAAAGGTCGAAAGATGGGTCCAAGGCACGTTAATCGAGAGAAGGCTGAGATGATGTCAATGTCTCATGCCGCGACATGGGGGAATTTCCTAAGGGTGTCACTCCAGCTTACTATCATGTTCCTCAGATGTCACTTTCCTGCCGAGCCAGGGATTCGAGTTGACAAGTTCCATAAACTCGAAATCGCACTACCCTGAGTCCTACACAAAACTTGCCTAAAACACTGTGGCAGTGAAACCCAAAACCGGCCCGGATGCCTTCAACCCCAAAGCCCTAAAGCTTCAAAGCTGATAGATAAGGCCTGAAGCCTGTCTCCGGCGGCGAGCCGGCAGAGTTGCTTCTACGCTTCTGGCGCCCATGGGGTTTAGGGTTTACGGATTTGCAGT